TCGGGTCTTCTTCGCGGGCCGGGGCTTGGACTGCGGCTCGCCCTTCATCCGACTCCTTCGCTCCTCGGTCAAAAGATCTACTGAGGAGGCGCCGGATAGCGCGACCGGATACCGCAGCATTTGGGGTGCCGAGCCCATGGATAGAAACACGCCACTTTATGGCGAATCTTCTCATTTAGCTTCAATGGAGACAGCGCAACTGACCAGGGATCGCCGTGGAGGAGCGGGCTATGGCCTTGCATGGTGATAGACACCATATTGTTGCATGCAATGCACATGCACTTCCATGACCGCGTGCATTTTGCAAGGTACGAGCGCGTGCGGAATCCACTTAGGTATGGTGTTTTTAGCCGGCTGGGAAAGCCGGCTCGCGTGTCTTTCTGGCTGCTTTCGAGAAGCAGATGGACTTCGAGACGCTTGCACTCGCGACGTGCGTCAGTCGGCTCCTCCGGCGCCAGTAGCACGCGCCGTAGCAATGGTAGTGTTGTTGGATGTGGAAGCATCGCCGAAGAAGCCTTCGGCTCTTCCACGATTCCCACAAGAAACAGCACATCTACGACGGGATGGTCCGACCACCATGCAGTCTGACGTTTGACGATCCGAGATGTGACATGGACGACGACGACAGGGTCGACTACCAGCGGTGGCATACGATCAGTCACAAGCGCACGATGAGCATCCTCGTACCAATACAGTCAAAACGCGGTTTAATAGCCGGCTTTTGTTAGGGGTAGGCGCCACTAAACGACCTCACTTCAGCAGATAACGAACAGCCAATCAGGACTCACGATCGAGCAAATCTAACCAATCATGAGTCAATTTTCGGAACTTCAGCCAATCGCATCGCTTCGAGCGATTTGGAATTGGTATTCCACGTGGTTTTTGCTGTGTACACGACTAGGCACATGGTCTTCGTCGACCCTTCCGACTGGATTTAAACCAATCACAAAGCATTGAGAAAATGCCCCGAGCCCGAGAACCCTCCTGCAAGAGGTCCCCGGTCGACTGCGCCCGCGACGCAAGCGCCTAACTGTTGACAAACAAGCCGAGATTGTCGAGCATCTAAAGACAAGGATGCCCGGGAGCGCGATGATACCGTCGACATCGATCGACCGCTGCGCACAGCGACCATCGACGTCCCATCAAGCCAGCGTGCTCTGTCAGCGAGCGAAAGCCTGCGTGAGTACTTCACATGGTATGAAGACGACGACATGCTAGCTCAAAGCCGTTGTCCAACGTATCGAGGCCAACGCGAGCCACACGACGCCCAGCGCGGTCTTTCACATTTCAGCTCATCCCTGAAGCGCCTTCATGTGGCAGTGAATGATCTTGTTTTTTGTATACATTTGAAACCATGTGATTTAGCCCTTCTGTCCAGGGTTGTTGAAGGAGGCAGTGAGTACCACTTCTGCCACTAAACGACCATGGCTGCTAATCCGCGTTTTGACTGTAGCCTCTCGCGCATCGACACAATGAGTGCGACAAGCCTAGGACATGTACTAGGCTAGATGCTAAGGACGAACGGCAAGCGATCGCCAAAGCCCTTTCTGCTATAATACTTGCGTCTTGCTGGCTAGAAGGAAATGGCTAGTTATCGCGCTGTAGTTGGCAGCACGGCTACCTTTGGATCGGAAATGATCTCGTCGCAAGCAAAAGCTCGTAGCTGCCACCTTTTTCATGGGCGCCAAGCGAGGCGGCGAACAAGATTTCGTGCCAGCGGGGGCAAGCCAACCGAGTCTGCGAGCGTGTGACGGGTTGACTTGAAGGTCGCTCTTGAAGGCCCGCGCCGCCCAGATGGTGTACTCAGCCCCCGCTTCGATAATTCAGGATTATCGAACTGCCCATCATTTCTAACGACCGGTTGCATTTCCCAAGATGCGTCGCCGCGGGTCGTGCATGTACTATGCCGACGCGGGCCTCCTCGCCGTCGGCAACCTCATCACGATCGACGACTGGATCCTCGACCGCGACCGCAGCCACTGCAGCGTGTGCGTCCAGCAGTTTCACGCGTTCAAACGGCGCCACCACTGCCGGACGGTACGAAGAGATCAGGCACCTGTCCGAAGCTCATGCTCTTGCTGTCTAGTGCGGCGAGGTAGATAATTGACTCCTGCCCTCTCCTCCAACGTAGTATCATCTCTGCCCACAGGTCATTTGCAGTCGCTGTTCCAAGCACCGTAAGCTGCGCCTCGTCGAACTCAACGTCGACCTCACGGCGCGCATCTGTGCCATCTGCGTCACAGCGGCGACGCTTGCAGCACGCGACGTGTCGGCCGCGCCGTTGCGCCCGACGCTCCTCGAGACGCCGTACGGTCCTTCGCTCACATTGCCCTTTGGAATCCTATGGTATCTATAGGTCGTCGCCCGTGTTTGCTGTGCCCGTGCTGCCGTGGGACGACGCCAACTTGGCCACGTGGCGCCTCGAGGTCGCGCGCCAAGCCGACACGCTCCAACCGGATCAAGACGACACGCTCAAGCTGCTCGTGCACCTCGTCGCGACGTCGCTGCGCTGCCCGATCGTCTTTTTAGGGCTCTTGGACCCGAGCGGCCTCCACATCCAAGCCAGCCTCGGCCTCGACCCGTCCACCGACAGCCTCGTCCAGTTTTGTGCGCCAGTGTGGCGCCACAATGCGACGCTCGTGCTCTCCGAGACGGACGATGCGATGCTGCGCGACCAAGGCCTGCGGTACTTTGCCGGCACGCCGATCGTCGTCGAAGGCCTCGTGCTCGGCGCACTCGTCGCCATGGACATGGAGCCCCATGGCAGTACCAACCTGAGCCAGCGGAATACGCTCGAGTCGGTCGCGCGGATCGCCGCCGAAGTCCTCGAGCAGCGCGCCAAGGTAGACGACAGTCCATCCCACTCTCTCGCTCCTTTCTGACGCCACTGACAACGATGTTTTGTAGGAGGCGAATCATCACGACACAGCAACGGCCACCGATCTCTCGCTCGACGTGCCCGAGAAGAGCGAATTCGAAGAGGATGCCGACGATGGCGAAGGCACAGCGCCCTGCACACCCATGGTACGACGACGACATGCGCCTTGCGTCCACTTGACATGCCATGGCTAGAATGAGTTTCAAAAGGCGCTATATGTCTCGTCGCCGCGCGTGACACGCTGCAGCGACTCGAACCAAACGATCGAACTGCCGTCGTCGGCGCAGCAGATGCCCGCGTACGACGACGCTGTCGAGTCGATGCTGCAATTGTACCGTATCTTGCACGGGTGCTCGTGGGAGCCGACCAGTGTCGTCGTGGCCGATCGCCGCGTCCAGTTTCATACCTTCCACGAGCGCTACCAGCACGGGTACATCAAGGCGACGCGCGAGCTCACGTCGCTGCCAGGCAGCTTGTCGTGGGCGTCGCTCGTGCAGCTTCCGCAGATGCACATCTACAGCAACTGCCTCGCGCAGTATGTGAGCCACCAGCCCATCGATGGTCACACGATGCTGCACAACGTCGTGTTCCAGCCAGGTTCATCCTTGCCGCCGCCGCCTGTGGTCATGAAGTGTGCTAGGCATTTCGTGGACCCGCGCCAAGCAGTACCCATTGCTCACGCACGCGCGCGACTACCCGAATGGCGCGGCCGTCTACCTCGGCATGCAGCTGCGCGACGACCTCGTGCCCGAGTTTTGCTTTGGGTGGATGCTAGGCCCGAGCGACGACGATGGCCGCGCCAAGGTCTCGGTCATTGTGCCGCAGCACCGCGAGATCCACGAAGCCAATATGATTGCGACGTGGCTCGACCAGCTCCAAGATGTGAGGATGCTCTATCCACGGCACGTGCATTCATGACTGTGTAGCTGGCG